TGGGCGAGTGGTGGCGAGGGGATTTCGACGATCAGTTGGTCCCTTACCTGCCTCCTCACGTTACACGGCCGAAGGAGAGAGTTCGTGTGCACCAGGTAAGCTGTGAAGATGACTCAGCCTGTCTAAGCAGACCCAGTGCGTAGAAGCTGGCTCGATTCCAGTTTGTCATATATGTTTTCAAATGTAGTCGTGAAGCAGCAGCAGCGTTAAGTGATTCGCGCTGTTGGTGATGGTCCTTGCGCTACAGGTACAGCTTCCGCATCGTTGTTCTTTCCGCATTCCCACGGGCTTCTGCCTGACGGTGGTCCCAATCTTTGAGCTGAGTTGTGAACGCGTTGGGTTGGCAATCAGCGGCCTCTCTCACCTCCTCGCACGTTTCAGCATTCGCCTTATGGTGCCGACTTTGGATAAGTTCGAAGCCGAAACCTCAATGGAAAGCAAAACAGAACAGGAAACGGAGGGTATAAGAGCCGAGCTAAATGACACGCCCGCCCGTCCCGAAGGTCCAGGCGTCCAAGCTGGCACGCAGCCAACCCCCCATAGGGAGGAAGACCTTGAGCTGCTGCCGCCGGAGTTGCAGCATCTCGCAGAGCTTGAAGAAGTTGACTGACTCAGCAGTTTTTATCGCCTGCAAAGCCCTCCTCTCCGCGAAATAAACCCTACAGTGCAGTGCACTGCACGGCCAGTAGTAGATAGGGAAAGCAAAGGGCGATTCTAATCTTTTATTCCTTCGCAGTTCAATTCATTTCTGGGCTAGCGAGATGTATTGCTAGGACTGAAGTGTGTGTTCACCTCTTTGACAGGGGCAACTAACTGGCAAACGCTTTTTGCCCTCTGCCAGCGAGACAAACTACTAGGTCGGATATCCTTTTGGCTGCTTGGAAGGTTGACCGGTAGCCCACCTAATGAGATCTATTATTAATTATTCCAGAGTTGAAATTCTGCTGAATATCTCGGGGAACACATGCCAAGGGAACGAACTACGCGATTGGGACAGTGTGTACTGTGATGGGTAGCATACTCCGGGTCTGCTGTGGACTACGAATGCTACAGGCCTTCGCACGCTTCAGAAATGTCCTTGTAGTGATAAATCTGCGTACTATTGCATATATTCTCTGTGTTTCAATATATCTATGAGTTTCCGCCTTCGATTTGACCGCTGGACAGACAGCTGGGGCCCCAATGCAGAGGCTGCTGCTTGGTGAGCGCCGCTGTCGCGGGCGTTGCAGTACAGGAAGCTCTTCATTGAAGGCTCTTTCTTGTATTTCTTAGCTGAAAATTGAATTATCTGCTTCCTGTCATGGAGGCTGTACTGAGATGCGAGTGGCGCGCCAGTGCAGACGGCACCATCGAGCATGTGCTATTCGTGTGTGCCCCCAAGTCCCTGTCTGATTTTCTTAGGAAACGCCGAAATTAACAGCTTGTTGTCTCTCGCTCAGAAATAGAAAGGTTAATAGAATTTCAGCATTGTGAACTGTTCCTAATTTGAGGCAGAATTCACGAAACGGTTTCAAATCCCTGACAGGCTGGACACCAGATGACAGCATCGCCGCCATCCACTGTCCCGTAGGTGCTCAGATAGAAAAGTGTTTGCAACTAAACATTCTAGTTGANGCATCGCCGCCATCCACTGTCCCGTAGGTGCTCAGATAGAAAAGTGTTTGCAACTAAACATTCTAGTTGATATGACCACGATTGAGGCTGCTTGTTTGCTGGCTGCTGCTATTTCTTCACGAGCTCCGTACTCTGACCGCCCGCAGCCGACGGCAGTCACACCCCGTTCCCTCCGAGATTACTACCGGGAGGTGCGCGTGCACTGCAACCGAAGTTCCCCGTTGGACAGAAGAGGACGAAGATCCATTCAGATACATGCTAGGCAGGGGTCGCAGTTTTTCAGACCCTCTGTTCCGCCTGGCGTCTTATCAGTGCAGCCAGCAGCTGTGACACAAATCCATGCTTGTTTCTGAATGGAGGAAAGTACAGTACTTTTAGTGTTACAACCTTAAAATAGGTCGGATAAGAAGGCGTCCCGTCAATGAGTGCGAGGGCAGAAGGAAGGAGCGCGGCGTTTGTTAACCTCCTGAAAGAATTCCCAATTGGCGATCCGACCAGGAGCAGCCAACATGGGGAAGTTACAGAGGAAGTTGTACGGCTCCCTGCTCCCTCTAACAAAGCTCCTTACATCTAAATCGGAGCCGATAATAATTGGCGCTTTCTTAAGGGCGCTGAGCGCCCAAATTAGCGGGCTCTAAAGGCCCTGGAGGTGCGTGCACCGGAGGCTTTCTTCGTTCCCATTTTCTCGTCAACCCATTTGCTGTGGTTTTTCTGGACAGGACCGCACAATCGGGAGGAGAGTATGGAGGATTTACGGGCTGGTCTCTGCAAACAATTTCGTTTGCTTCCCGAGCACGCGAAACGCGCAACAAAAGCTGGAAATNACGGGCTGGTCTCTGCAAACAATTTCGTTTGCTTCCCGAGCACGCGAAACGCGCAACAAAAGCTGGAAATCAGAGCAAATTATGTATCTCTACTTGCGACACACCATCTAAATGTCACTTAAGGCTGCGCCGTCTTTCAAAAACAAACCAGTTATTCAACTAGTTGCAGACAAATAGGGCCTCAGAATTTTAGAGTTTTGCATGCTGCGGCGTGCGCGTTATGGATGATGTCAGGTGTATGTGCAATTCAAGCCAATGGCGAACCGTTTTTTCGTCATGCATTTTGATTTGAATACCTCGAAGAACTCCTCCTTGCGTATAAGCTTGACGAACATCGTCAAAGAACCAAAAGTCTGCCTTAGACCCTTCTCCTATGGGCTGTTAGTATGAGTATCAGTAGAGAACCCCCTCTCAGGTTAGTGTAGCTCGCGACCCGCTTGTCTGAAGCCTTAAATATGATAATGAGCGCTTCTCTTGCGGCGCACAGGTGCGCGCTCGGGTGATACAATACCCACTCTTGCCTCCATCTCGTTGGGTTCAGCTGTGCATACACCTGCCGAGCATTATAGGGCAGTTCACGAAGCTGCCCCCTACAGGGAACACTCTCACCTCCGTTCAAGTATGCTCCTGCCTTTATCTCCGTGGCCTCTTCACTTCAGACCATCTGTACACCACAAATGTGAGCCATAAAAAATCCTGACATCCCCATTAGAGACGAAGACGTGAAACTAGGCCCACTGCGACAAATGATGGTTCCTGGTTATTCTTGCTCCTGGGTAAAGAACCTAGAGGAGCACGTACTGTCTGCTACCTTATTTTCTACAGGACATTCCGAAACCTCTTCGCCTGAAAGAACTTTCTGGGTTGATGCCGCACGAACTGCTTCCTTGGGTTTACATACCCATAGGATGTCGTTCTTCTGAGTGCAATCAAATCAGCTGTAGCAGCACGGACCGCAGCACACCGGAACCTCTACCGGGTACATCACTAGCGCATCTACAGTCTCCAGCGCAAACTCTTTAATAGTTTTAATCCCTGTGGCCCCACACATTCTCTTCAAAGAATGAGATAACGCAGTGTTTACCCTATTTCCCCACGACGCTTAGACCGGTCCTTTTACGACATTTGCGTCTGTCAGATGAGAATTTGGGTGGAACTGTGGCCCCGGCCACATCTTTAACCGAAGGTTTTTGGAACGGCAGAGAAGAC